CCCCCCCCCCCCCCGCCAGCTCCCCGGACCACCCCTCACTGTCTGGCTGGTCCTTGGGTGTCCCTTGCATGATGCGCAGCAGCTGACGTAGGAACACACCCATCCCCAGGTGTTTCCCTGGAAAATGGAGTCAGTGTGCCCAGCAAACAGGCTGTTGGCAAATCCAGTGGCCTCCGGCTTGGCTCTGAGGCCCAGGGACACACCCCTGCAGCTGCCCTCCCCGCCCAACTTTCCAAAGCCTCTGGGCAGACCGGCTGGGCACCAGCCCTGCACCCCTCTTCCTCTGCTCGGAATCTGGGGCCGCAACTGCACCAGAACCTTCTGTGAAAGGGGGAAAAGTTACATGCTTCTCACTGGGACCTGGGAGGACTCAGTTAACCCTCCAGTGCTTAAACATGGCGAGTGCCAGAGGGTGAGCAACTGCCCAGCAACACAGACCACTACATCTAAGTTTTGTGTAGAAATGCAGTCCAAAAGACTATTTAAGTTTAAATACAATTTAAAAGCCCGGTTCCCAGTTGCACTAGTCACATTTCTAGGACTCCAGAGCCACCCGAGGCCAGGGCTACTGGACTGGACCACGCAGAACAGACCACTCCCATCCTGGCATCCGGCCAGCACTGTCCCTGAGGCCCTTCGGTCAGCTTTCTTCCCTATTCTGCCCTGTTGTGCATCCCTGCCCACTGGCACCTCCCCTACTCCGCCCTCCCAGAAATTCCCTCAGCCCACGGGGAGTGCCCAGAGCCTGCACAGGAGGCCTCAGATGAAGAGACAAGCCCCCCCAGGCCTCCAGCAGCTGCAGTCTGAGCTGGCCCTTTCCGGCAAGCAGCTCCTCGTCCCTGAAGTGCTTGTCAGTAGGAGCTGAACCCCCGAGAACAGGCTTCCGGTTTCCACTGCACCAAGCCACCGTTCACTGCCCACACCCAGGAACAGGGAAGATCGCCCTGGAGCTCAGAATGCTTGTTTCTTCTCCTTTCAGATAACCCATCCCCCCTCCGCCCCTTTTACAGCCGAGCTCTTTGAAACACTGTGGAACATTCTCCGGGTAAATCGTGTCATTTCAACAACTACTGTGTAAATTAAGGGTGACTAGTAACTGTACCAGTTTTTATATACATGATCCTTGGGAACTAAGCTTTCCTTAAAGGCGTGTTGTAATCAGTCTATAAAACCCAGTGTGACAGCGCTCCCAGCCTTCCTGTTTCTTTTCTTCTGCTGAGTTTTAAGTTTAGATTTCTGGCAGGTCACACCCACAGCATTCATTCATTCAACCCCTACCTCTGAAGGCAGCACCACCACCCGACCCCAAGCCGGGCAGAGGACTCAGGCCCATGGCTCCTCATCAGTGGAGGGACTGAGGCTCAGGAGAACAGTCGTTTGGCTTATAATCTTCAAGGCCAAGGGCAGCAGCGCTGGGGTTTCTATGTAAACCCCGAGCAGGGATGCTGTACCTAAATTAAGTCCCAGAGGTATGGGCAGTCACCCAAGATGAAGGTGAGATATTTTATTTTAGACCTGGTAGGTCAAGGAGTGGGAGGGCAAGGGCTCTTACCAAGATGGAATGATGGCCGTGGCCCCTCGGCTGGAAGACCCACCTGTAACACAGAAGAGACTCGGTGAGTCAAGGGTGCAGAGAAAGTCTGGGGGTCCAGAGTACCTCAAAACCAGGGCCCCTCAGACCCCCAGGTGTCAAAGGTCCTGGGGGGCACTGTGTCCTCAAGAGGTATCAGAGCCCAGTGCTGGACATCACAGGAGCCCGGGTCCCTCCACAGCCAGGTCCCAAGGCCACTCACCCTCAGGGACAGAGGCCAACAGAGCTAACAGTGCTCAGCAACTGGAAAACAAAATCCATCAGGAGGCTATGGACGTCCACAGCTCTCCCTGCGCAGACACCAGGATGCCCCCACTCCCCGTGTCACAGGTCCACAGGGGACTGTCCTCAGAACCCAGTGTCTACCTCTCGTTTAGTTTTGAAGATTGTCAGCACTGGCTATACCTCCTAACAGTCCTTATAGCTAAAGCTGTTAAAATGCTCACCCCTTACTAGCAATTACCAAAGGGGAGGGAGGGAGAGGGGGATTGAGGAGTATTATGATCGGTACACATGGTGTGTGTGGGGGGGGTCACGGGTAAGAAGACAGTGTAGCACAGAGAGGTAGTGACTGTAGATACCCCAGCAGTTAATCTTGCTGTTTTAGTCCCTGCTTCACCTTAATCTATAGCTGAAACTAATCTAAAAGAACAATAGGTGCTGCGTCTTGGAATCTGGTGTGAGTCATGAGCAGTGTGACAAGGGCTGCCAAATTCTAGTGATCCTTCCGAGGCAAACCCAGATAAGGAACACGCTGAGACTCACGAGGCTGGACACTTGACGAGACATAAGAGAAACTTTAAGACGAGTAGTTTGCAACTGTTTTAGCTTGATGAAGAAAACTCACCCTATACTCATTAATCGATGCCTGTCTTTTTGCTTGCTGTAACTTAATAAAGACGCAGGGGAGTGCTGACTTGATGCCTTGTCTCCAGAGAAGTCTAAGCCCCTGCATTAAACGTCATTCTGACTCGGTTTCTCATTTTCGCCGTCCCCGACTGCAACAAGTGACTCTGTGGCCTCTTCCTACCCTGATGGACAGTGACTGCAATGGGGTTTGTGGGGGGGACTTGGTAATATGGGTCAACGTAGTAACCACAAGGTTTTTCATGTGAAACCTTCATAAGAGTGTATATCAATGATACCTTATTAAAAAAGTACCCCTTGGCAGAATCTGATGGCGGGAATAAAGTGGAGGGAGCTATTCTAGGGAAAAAAAACTAAAAGCAGCATAAACAATAACCAGAGACCCTTTACTGCAACCATTTTTTGAACAAACCAGCTGTTCAAGACATTCTGGAGATGACAGGATATATAAACACAAAGCAGGAGAGCGAATCATAAAGGAATCAGCCCAACAGACCATTTTCAAAGGTGACGAGCATTTCCATTAACCTATTTTAGAATTAAGATGTTGACTTTCAGAATATGTAAACATAGTGAAATGTTATCGACTGTGAAACTTACGTCTATTTCCATGAACGTTTGAGATTTTTAATAAAAAGCAAAAAAAAAAAAAGCGAATATATCGCACAATGGCGAAAGATGACGCGCGAACGATGAATGGATGAGACAAATCCCTCCACGTATCACAGGTATTTATCCTATGATAAAGCCAACGGGTTTCCCAGGTGGTTGCCTGAGGAAGAAGCAGCTAGAGGAGATTTTTGCCTGGTCCCGGCAGGTGGGGACAATCAGGGGGCGGCCTCCGGGCTGAGCCTCCTCGGCAAACCGTGGAGTCGGGAAGCCGATGTCCAACAGGGCCTCAAGGACCAATTAGCCCAGAAAGAACGTTTCACGAAAAAAACCTTTGATGTCTGAACTAACCACATAACTTTCAGTATTTGGAGTGACCGTGTCAGAATGACTCCTGAGCCTTAACTGAGGCCCCGTTTGCTCTCTCCTAAGACCGTTCCCATTTGGATCTCAGCCAGTAATTCACACCCTACTTACTGTCACTTCTCCCTTAGAAACTCCCGAAAGCTTGTCTCTACCTGCCCCACAATCTTTGTTCTAGGTTGCACAAAAATGCCATCCTTTTGGAATCGGAAAAAAACAAGAGCGACTTCCGAAGGAAAGCACGCGTAGCTAGCACGGCGGTGGAAAACCGCAGCAAGAAAGACTCGGTGTAGCACGTCTCCCGCACCCAACAAACCCCGAAAAGACAAGATGGCTGACCCCTGCGACGTGGGTTTCTGAAATCGCGCAGCCGAGCTGCGGTGCAAAGGAGGGCTCGACACAGCGAGACCCGTTCGCTCTGGAGGCAGGAGTCCTCCCCACACTAAGCACCCCTTTCCGTCCCGACGCCCCTGCTCGCCCCGCAGCGCATGCGCAGGCTCGCCTCGGAGCGCGCCAAACCCTTACAAAGGTCCTGACCCCATCCACGCGACGATGTGGCTACCCCTGATGCAGCCCCGAGTACCTCACAGACGCAAGACCCGGATCCCAGAGCCCGGGAACTAAAGGACAGAAAGTGACTAACGTTTCTCGTCCCAAAGAAAGCAAGAGCGGTAGCTTGTCACATTTTATAGTCGGCGCTGCTAACATGCCCGTCCCCGCGCCAGCTCACGCTCCGCCCTGAGTCGTCCAGCACATATGTCGTTATCGGAAACCCCACTTCGGTGCTTGAAGACGGGAATAATGCCTGTTTATAGTAAAATATTCCTGAGGAATCAATGAGACATTTTCCCTGAGGCGTAGAAAAAGGAGCGGGGAAATATCGGGCCGATTGTCCTGTCATGATGGTCAGGCAGTTCTTCGGACAGCAACAAAAGCGGGCCATGAGGAGGAAGGACCCGCCGGGTGGGGGCGGGGCAAAAGAGAGGAGCAAATGGAATCGCCAGCGCGGCTGTGACGCAGGCCATGCAGGGGCCGACCCAGAAGAGGCCCCGCCGCAGAGTAGGAGGCGGGGTCAGTGCGGAGATTGAGAGGCGCGTTCAGGGAAATGCTCACGTGTCGCTGAATCAGAGGCTGAGCCTGCGCGGGGAGAGGCAGGCGGGGTCCTGGATATGGGTACGGGGTGGAAGGGTGGACTCCAGGCTGAAGTGCAGAGGGGCCCGGCGGCCTGGACTCCGGGATGTAAGGGAAGAGGGGGCCGGGGGCTGGAACTCCTGAGGGCGGACTGGGTTTGGGGCTCACCCCCGTTGAGATGGTCTAAAACCTAGGGGCTTGGATTCTTGGTAGCGATGCAGTAGATCGAAGTCTCTGTGACCAAAACACAACTTTGTTTAGCCTGCGGTCTCCCTTGGTCATTTGGGTGGTTATTCTAGTGAGGAGACTCCTATGAAACTTGTGGTCTGAAGTAAAAGGAAAAGACCTAAACTCTCTTTAAGAAAAAAAGACATTTTCTTCACTGGCTCCTGCCTCACTCCGAGTAAGGCAAAGTCCTCACTGAGGCCCAGAAGCACAGTGGCTTCCCTGGTCTTCCTGGAACCTGCCAAGGGCATTTCTCTCTCGGGACCTGTGCGTTTGCTGTTCCCTCTGACTGGAACTCTTTCCCCCATTCTATCCTCATGGCTCTCTTTCTTCTCTTCAGTCGCGTTTCTACTCAGATGTCTCCTTAGCATAGAGCCTCCAGCCCCCTTTCCAGACGGGTCTCCCTTACCTTCCTTTTTCTTCATAGTTCTCTTCCCCTAACTTATCTGTGGACGTTCTTTTCTGCTTCCCCTCTGAAATGGCAATTCCATTACGACCTGGATTTGTGTTTAGTTTGATCATTGCTATAGATCCAGTATCTGGCACATAATTGCAGCTCAGTTTTCATAAAAAATTAACAACTTTGAGAGCCTTTTGTGGAAGACAAGAGGAAGGATTATTGTAGCAATACATAAAGAGTACATGCTATGAACCAGGTGTTCTGTTACACTCTGTCTAGATTGAAGTACTATCACTATTCCCATTTTACAGATGAGCAAACTGAGACCCAGATGGGTTCAACACCTTGCCACAGGTCACAGCTATTAGGTAGCAGGGCCTAGACTCAAAACCTGCCAGCTTAACCACTGTGTGAGAGGGAGGTAGATGGAACCCCCAGGTGGAGTGCGGAGAGACCCAAGCAGTGATATAACTTTGTACTTGAATTTTAGCCCTGAACTATTAAGCAGATGACTTTGTTGGCCTCCAAACCATCTGCAAAAATCTGCTACAAGAAACAGCCTTAAAAATAAATAAAATAGACAAAAAATTAAAGAAGGAATGGGACCCTTTAGGGAAATAAAGTGCTAAAGAACAACCTTGTGTTGGGAGATGGGGGGAGAAAAAAGGGTAGGTCATGGCAGGAGCTGCTGGGAAGGGCAGAATTGCTTCAGGAGGGGCAAATTATCGGGGTCACAAGATTAAAGGGTGAAGCCCAAAGGGCTTGGGGAGAACCAGGTCTTCAATAATTGAGCACCGTCTGCAGGCCAGACCCTGTGCCTTGTGTCTCTTCCACCTGAGTCCCTTCCCTCACCTATTCCTCTACTGCTGAGGACTCCAGAGATGGTCCCAGGGAGGGATGGCATTCCCACAAAACACAAATTACGGAGCAAAAAGAATATTTTGGGTGAAAAATACAAATTATTTAAAAATACAGATTATTAATCTGAGGGGGGATTCAGAAGGACTGAAAAAGGACTAGGACTCTGGGTGGGAGAGGAGGGCTGGACAGCAGCGTTGTCAGGCCAGAGGTGGTATGAGTCCCCGGTCCTAGGTTCAGACTGCCTGGAGCATCATGCTGGACCAGAAATTCACGTAGTTCAGGTAGGAAAAGAAGCCTGGGGGAGGAAGTGAGCAGAGAGGGTGAGGTGCAACTCTGATCCCGGTCTTCTCCCCAAGCCCAACCACTGTCCCCAACCCAAACTCAACCCCATCCCCAACTCCATCCCATCCCTCACCTGTCCCAATCCCATTCCTAAATTTGAGCCCAGCCCCTCCCCCTCCACTTTTCCCAAACCCCCATCTTCCAACCCAAACCTAAACCCATCCCCTACGGTCCCCAACCTATTTCCAGAACCCAGCCAAACCCTATCCCCACATCCAGCCCTATGCCTAACCCCAGTCTCCTCTCCTGACTCTGTCTCCCCCCTCAGTGCCACCTAGCCCTGTCCACAACCCCGTCCCCATCCCAAACTCTAGCACACAGTCTCCATCTGCATCTCTGAGCCCATGCCCGAACCCAGCCCCCGCCAAGCCCAGACCAGTCATCAGGAAGAGAAAGACGCCAGTCCACGCCAGGTAGAAGCTGCACCCCAGCCTGTAGGTCATGCCTTCCTGCAGGTACTCATGCGCTTGCCTCAGGTAGAACAGGACCCCCAGGATCATGCTGCTTCCTGCACAAGGACAGGCGTTATGATGGGCGTGAGGTGTGTGGTGACCCTTGCCCATAGTCGGCTGCCTGGCTCTTGCTTATTGTTTACCCACTTCTACACTTCCCCATACCTCTGCTCGCAAGCAGGGAACGAAGCTCCAGACAGTGCCTTGGCAGAGGACATGGGAAGTGCAAATGTTCTTTAACCAAACGATGGTTAAATGGCCCTGAAACCACAGACTTTGGAGCCATCAAAAGACCAGAGCTCTTGTGTTGCCTATGTCTGCCACCCTAGGACAGCCACTCCATCTCTCTGGGCCTCATTTTCCTCATCTGTAAAGTGAGCATAATCGTAGGTCCTAGCCCCTTGGGCTCTTGTGAGGAGTTACTGAGATGGGCACAATTCCTGGCACAGTGGGTCCTCACAAATTGAGACTGAGCATTATCATTATATTGGGTCTTTAATTTGTGGGCTTCTGAAGCAATGGGCCAGGAACTCAGCCATTCTGGATATTTTTGTTCTGTTTTGAAGTGACATGAATTAAAGATAAAAGGAAAAGATATTTTTTCACACAGTGGAGGACTGGGTGATTTGTTTCATGTTATTGAAAAAATTCAGGAGGTGCATTCCCTTGAGTTAAAAGGGGGAATGGGCAGAAATGATTTTCTTATAGAAAAAAATGTCCTATTTTGGATGACATAAAATGGAAGTGTTTTCTACCCTTTTTACCTTATATTTAAAACAATCGGGAAGAGTTACTAGGCAAACTATAAACACCATTTACTAAGAAGGAAACAGGAAGTTGAGTGTTCTCTAGGCTAGGTCTTAACTATCACTCCCCAAGAACGTTCTTCTGAAAGTTAAGGTCAATTACTACAAGAGACAGGAGTACAATATCCTTCACTTCCAAATGAAAGCCCCCCCAACCAACCCACTTTAAAAAGTTTGACTTGACATGCAAATGGAAAATTAAACTATTCTAACGAGAATGTCAATTCTGAGTTATCTGGTTGGTGGGGGGATGGGAGAATTATCATGATAAGGACTTGTGCAAAGTTAAAGTTAAATAGCTACCGCCAAGTAATGACTTTCTAATTCAATCCTCAGTACATTGCCACGTGGTAGAAGTTTTATCCCCATCCTACAGATAAGCAAACTGTGGCTCAGAAAGGTTAAGTAGCTTGAACAGAAACACAAGCTGCTGGTGGTTGGGAGACAGGATTTGGGATGGGGTTGGAATTGGAAATGGGTTGTGTACTGGGAAGAGGTTAAAGTTTTAGTGGTAAGGATGGAGGTTATGGTGGGGGATGAGGATCAACTAGAGATTGGTAAGAGAATGTAGTTGGGGATGAGTTGGGTTGAGTTTGGGAGTGAGGTTCGCAGGTGGTCGGGTTGGGTTGGATTGGGAATGACCATAAGGGATCGAGTTGAGCAGGGTGTTGAGGTCTGGGGAGGGGCTGGGGATGGTGGTGGGAATGGTTTGGAGTTGGGAGAGGAGACAGAGTTGTAATGGGGCGGGGATGGAGCTGGATATCACAAAGCAGAGGTGAGCGAGTTTGAGTTTTGTTAGTGATTGAAGGTGGGAGGTGACGTGGAGGCTGGTATGGGGTAGAAATGGGGTTGGGCTGGAAGTTGATATTTTTTGTTGGGTTGGGTTGGGGATTTGGAGGGAGACAGGATCGGGATTGGGGATGGGATTGGGGTGGGCTGGGGAGGGGGCTGGCTATCATGATAGGTGCTGGGTGAGGTGCTTCCTGAGGGAAGGATTTCAGTGCCATGCCTGTCAAGATACTGCTGATGATGTTGGAGAAGTCTAGCGTGGGTAAGTTGGAGCTTGTGAAGAAGACGATGTTTATGAGCACGATGGAGAGGCAGAAGCTGGTGATGAAGGCGACAAAGAGGAAGATCCAGGTAACGTCCAAGAAGTCTGGGGAGGGAAGAGAATCAGGAACACCGAGACAGGCCCCCAGGCTCTGAGCGTGGGGGAGAGGTTCCCCAGTGAGTCCGGGAATATTCTCAGACCCTCTCCCTTGCAAATTCTTTCTCCCCATTTTAAGAACATTGAAGTTCAACATCAAGGTATACCCTCTGGGTCAGTAAGAACAGGTTCTTGGGCCATGAGGAATGGGGTGGGCATTGAGGAACCAGCTTGATGTGGTAAGGACAGATTTCCTAGGGTGAAAAAGCCTCACGATAACGTGTGAGGTCCTAGAGTTGTGAGGACTGTGAAGTGGGCATCGTGTAGGTGAGGATGAGCATAAGGCAGTGAGGACCATCCCAGGGAAGGCAGAAAGGGGTCCCTGGGACACAGAGGAGAGGTGAGTCCCGAGAATGCAGGGTCTAGGGCAGGCCTTACAAGCAGTCCGGTCGTACTCATGCATGCAGGAGATGTTGAAACACTGCGTAAAGAGAATGGTGTCGATGGGGATGGTGAGGGGGCCAGCAGGGTCCCCAGGGGGTGTCAATGGCACCTGGAAGTGGATCCAGGCCTGGCCCAGAGAGATGCAACCGATGATCATCATGCCAGCCAGGCTCAGTATCAGGCTCAGCTGGTGGCTGAACTTCTTGGCCTGTTGCAGCAGCCACCAGCCCGTGGGCAGCCGTGAATGTCTGTGCCTACGTATCTTCTGAATCCTGCAGCAGATAACCCACCACCAGTGTCAGCACTGAGTCCAACCACCAAACCCAGCCACCCCAGGTCCAGCTGCCAGACACTGTCCCACCCAGCCTCACCTTCAGACTCTGTCTTCCTTATGTCCATCCTCCATGCCCTCTGTTTCCTAGTCCCCTTGTCTCCAGATGAGCTTCCAGGACCACCTCCCCCAGATTCAGTCTCTAGGCCGAATCACATATCCAGCCTCTATGGCGTACCCCTGCCGGAGCCACCTTCAGGCCCAGCTTCTAAGCCCTGCCACATCTAGATCTAACCTCCAGTTTCTGCGCTGCTGGCCATGCTTCTGGTCCCTGATCTTGGACTGCTGCCCCTTTCTCAGAGTTCTAGCCCAGAGCCTGGCCTACTGCCTGGAACCCTCTGCCTCTCACCTGCCAGAATCAACCTCAAGGGAGCTGTCTGATGGTAAATTGTGGATACTGCTTTCTAGGGTATTTTGGTTGAGTTGAGTGCTGTCCTCAAAGTCTTCGAAACTCTCCTTGGAGGTCCAGATCATTGATTCCACACTTTTCCTACTGGCGTCTGGGCTATGAGTAATTGAATGGGGAACACTGGTTTTGGCCTGGATTGGTAACGTGGAGCCTTGAACGCCCGCATGGAGACTCTGAGGTCTTGGTGGGTGGTCTTGTTTACCGTAGGTACGGGATTCCATATTGGTCCAGGGGGTGTGAGTAGTTAATGGAGGGCTTCGGACACTGAGATAGCGAGTTTGAAAAGTTGGTGGAACATCTTGAGTATCGAAATGGCGACTGTAGGTTATTGACCGTGTGTCTTGGAGGCTGACATGGCGACCGCCGACCGGCAGAGGGACTTCGAAGCTGACTCGGCAACCGCCGACCGGCAGAGGGACTTCGAGGCTGACTTGGCGACCGCCGACTGGCAGAGGGTCTTGGATGCTGACTTGGTGACTCTTGACTGGTAGAGGTTCTTGGAGGCTGACCTGGAAACTGGGGGTAATCGGCGCAGGGTCTTGGCTCTTGTCTTGGATGTTGTTGGAAGCTTCTGGAAGGAAACCTGGCTGGGTGCTCTGGCGGCCAGCTTGGGACTTCTGGGACATGTGGAGCTGCAGGGCAAGACCAGTTCCCACATGCACTGAACAGCCTGCCAACTGCCTCAGGCCCCACTTCCAGGCACCTTCATGGCCACCTGGAAATCCGCTGCTCTCTCTTCCCGGTTCAGGCTCTGTGCTTTGGGGTTTAGATCTTCCTGTGCCTCTGTACCTTCCTCTGTGTCTCTTGGTCTCTCCTGCTGTCCACAGGCAGGCCTCCGGGCTTCGGTCTGGCCTGCTGCTGGGGGCAGGGGCGAGGAGTTCCGTGACAGTTGGTGGGGGGTTCTAGGAAGTTGGGACGTTGGCCATGGACTCATACTCCACGCCAGCTCTGTGTGAGTGACATGGCTGGGGCTGGGTCAGGATGCATTCAGCGTGGGGTCTGGGCAAGGTCGTGATTAGGTCAAGAACAGGTCACAGCTGGGTTAGGTGCTAGGACTGGGCAGGGTTGGGTGGGGGAAAAGGAGCCGTCAGAGTGGAGACAGAACAGGGTCAGCTGCAGTGGGGTCAGGATGGGGACCACAGGGTCCGAGAGGGTCTAGAGTAGGGTCAGGGCTGGGTGGGGAAGATTCAGGGCCGGGTCGCCAGCATCTCTGAGATGAGTTCTTACAGTTTTTGGTGGCCTGAGATCTGAATTTATCATTCTCTCTGCCTACGTGCCCCTAGGGCCTTATCTGGATCAATCTCAGCCCTTGATTCCCTTCTCGAGCTCCATGGCTCTTGGTCCCTTTCTTTCTCTTCTGTGTCTGTCTCTCTTCGCCTGTCCCTGAGGCCTCAGGGACCCACAGAAGATTGGGCCTGCCTCCCATCCTCAAAGGAGAGAGGAGGCAGACCCAGCCACAGCTTGGGAAGGGCTCAAGAGAAGTCAGCAGGGGTTCAGGCACCCCAAGTATGTGTAGCCTTTCCAGTCAGGAGTGGGGACTTTTCAAACTGCTGTTTCCCTCATCCATTCCTTTGTCTTTTATAAGGATCTTTTGGGAAAAAAAACACACCCACAAACTTTTATGTCTTTAATTACATCATTATCTGTTTGACTCTTCTGTGCCTGTTTTCTCATCTGTCAAAGGAGATAGTGATCCTTCAGGGGGTTGTCGTAAGCATAAAATGGGTTAATATCAAGCAAAAGTACTCAGAACCCATTGTAAAAAGCACCTGTTGAGTTTTCACACATCACGGCTATTTGTTTTGATTCTAAAAGTTTCTCAATTCCCCCAAGCTCCTTCCTGAGCTCCAAACCCAGTGGCCAACCTCCTCGGCAAGCCAAATTGAGATGTACCGCGGAAAGAGAGAAAGAGGGTACCATGAATGCATGGTGCTGCTATACCTTGATGCCACCGTTCATGTATTCATTACCCATTTTGTTTAATAAATAGCAAAGGCTCTGTACCAGGTGACAGGGGTGCAGCAGGGTAGGAGGGCCTACCCTCATGGAGGTCTGCTGGGAAGGCCGGTAGGGAGCAAGATCGGGAATCAGGTCTGTGATACAGCAGCGGAGAGATGCCTGTGACACGATGTGAGCTTTGGATGGGTTCCATTTGGATTCCATTCAAGAATGAAGGCTGGAGGTGGGGCTGGAGCCTCAGGAAAGGCGATGGGAAGGAAGTGACATTGGAGGTGAGATCTAAAGGTGAATGGGGCAGTTGGGCAAAGGTGAAAGAAGAGCACCCCAGGCAGAGGGAAGCACCCCGAGCTGTGTCAAGAGGCCCGGGTTGGAAAGTTCTTGGTGTGCTGGGAGGAACCCTGTTAGGTCTAGGGGTGCTAGAGGTAAGTGACCAGTGGGGGGTCAGGAAGGCTGGCAGGATCACAGGGGCTGGGCCACATGTGCTCATTCTTTTGATACCATGGGTCTTGGCCGCATGAACACGCTTTGGAACCTGTGTCCTAGTTGTGAGAGTCCTGGGTGGCGATCTGCAACAGGGCTGGAGATGGGGGGGATGAAGGTGAGAGCAGATGGAGCTGGGCCTTGGGGAACGGGGACCAGAGAGGAGGGGGCTGGAAACGAAGCAAATAGGTTTGGGCTTAGGCTGGGGCTGTGAAAGGGGGATGACCTGGGCCTTAGGGTTAGAGGTGAGAGTGGGGATGCATTTGGAGTCAGGAACGTGGGTGCGGACGTGTTTGAGGGTTAGGAGAAGGAAAATATGTGGATGGCATGGGGTTGTGAATGGTGCTGGAGAGAAAGGTAATGTTGTGGATGGGACAGGAACAGAGAGGGATGAGGGGTGGTTGGGGCTTGGTGGGGGTGAGGAGAGGGCTGTGGGCAGAAGGAAATTGAGAACAGGGTAACAAGTAAAGTTTGGGTGGAGATAGAGATGTGGCTATGCATGGAGATGGAGGCCAGAATGCCACAGGGTGAGGCAGGTGGACCCAGGCCCCCAGAATTCTCTTCTTTCCCAGTAAAGCTGGTGTCTCCCTGGAATTACTACAAGTTCATCCTGCGGGCCTGTTGTCTCGTCCTCAGCATCCTGGCGACCCTGATGATTCTCAGCACGGTGGATGGGCGTATGGCCCACGTGCAGGGCTCCTACACTGGCTACCTGGGCATCTGGCCTAACTGCGGGAGGCACAGGTGTGCCAACCTGGATCAAGTCACTGGTCAGTAGGAGCCTTGACAGGCTATGGGGTGCTCCGGAGGCAGGGTTCTCTGGACATGGTTGGAGCAGAAATCTCTGGGGGAATCTTTTTGGGTGTCCTTGGAAGAAGTCTTTAGAATTCTGGGGATCTCTGAAGGTCTTGTGAGGGAGTCTTCTGGAGTTTTTAGGTGTCTGATAAGGAAATGGAACTGTCATACTGCACAGGAAAGACAATACTACACGTGCCTGCAAGCAATCTTCCTCATAATTAGATGGCTAAAGACCGCAGTTCTCTCTCACTTGCTTTTTAAAACAGTTTTGTTTTTAGTTTAAGACGATAAGAGGCTTTCAGCTCCTTCAGAAATAATTCTGCCTCCTGTAGGTCTCTGTGCAAGTCCAGGGCTGTTCAGCATTGCAGCAGGGCCTGGCGCCAGCCCCACCCAGATGGTAGCGGGATGAACCTGGGCTCGTGCCTTCCCCTCTCTGTGCTCTGGTTTCCTCATTTCTAAAATGGCAGTGATCAGAGCACCTACCTGTGGGCTGTTTGAGGAATAAATGAGTTAAAACACCTAAAGGAATTAGAACAGGGCCTGGTACACATTAAGGGCCGCACCAGTGTTAGCTGTTTTTATTATAAGGATTTTTTTTTCCTGGCCAATGCATCTGCCTGCATTTCGGATCTGAAAATAAGTGCTTAGGAAACTTCCATAACACTGTGTAGTGTTAATCTTATTTATGCATTTTGGATATCTCTTTCTCTTATACCTCCCAAACTTAAGCTGGTGTAAGACGAACGGTGGTTTCAAGTTGTGGAAAATTCCAGCGGCGTCGATCACTCCGGGTTCAGGTACTGCTGGATCTAGGTGCTTTAGGAGTGTCATCAGGGGCCTGTCCCTCAGGTGTCCCTGAAGGCATTCTCTGTGTCAGGCCCTCAGGCGAGCTGTGCATGGTGGCACTGCAGTCATCAGCAGCCCCTGGATTCCATTTCTTCTGTGAACAACCTCAGAGACAAGGGCAGGAGTTGCCTTCTGTGGCCCTCAGGCTAGCGTAGCGGGCATAGCTCTGATGGGATATGAATCCCCTGGGATTTCTCTCTTCCCTGAGCCAGTTGCTGTGGTCAGCAGGATGTCATGCTGTGATGGGGTGGCTCTGAATCACACGTTTTTCTTAAGCGTCAATGGAGGGGTAACTTCCGTAAGAAGAGAGAGGATGGACGGTAGGTGCAGAATTGCTTCGAGCAAAACCCAGTTGCTGTTGCCAGAAGAATGGGAACAGATGTGGGTGGGCATAACGATGCAGCACAATCCCCCCAGCCCGTATTTACCATACTTTATTTGAGCATAATTGCTTTGGGGGTAGATTCCCAAGAACAGAACAGCAGCGCTTCAAAAGGGCTGACAAAACTTTGTAAGGCTTTGATGTACATTCCCCAGAGAAGGCTGGATTCTCCCAACAAGCAACAGAAGCCAATTTAAGCTGGTTTAATTCGACTTATACAGGATGTTGGGAGCTAACAGAATCTCTGAGAGGCCAGAGAACTGGGCTTTGTGGGCTGAGCAATCAGGGCCATGCCCGAAGGCCAGTGGAGAACTGGCTGGCTGGGCAAGCACGCTGCACCTCGCCCCATGGACCCCAGCCTCTCCAGACTTGGACTCCACTGGGGAACCTCTTTCTCTGCTGCCCCGGGTAGCTGCCTGAGGGTAGCTGTGGTCACCCCAATCAGAATGGAGTGAGTGCCTACTTCTGGCTGCCAATTCCAAGTCTAGCATGGCCCTCTTTTATTGGTGGAGCCTGGCCACAGGCTGAAGTCCCAGCTGAAAGAGAGGCCGGTGCCCTTACTGGGAGTTGTGGATGTACACGCGGGGAAAAAGTCCCCAAATGTAGGGCTGGTGTTCAAAGGTGCTGGGAAGACAGAAAGAGGGGTGAATGTACATTACACTCCCCATTGGTCCTAAAATGTCAACTTTGTGTGATTTTTAAAAATACTCTTTATTTTAAAATCCAATTTGCTTTTATTTCATTTCAACAGGCAAGATCGTTACATGGTTCAACATTTTAATGGGTGTAAGAGTCTCCTCCTCATTTCTGTCTCCCACCCCTCCCATCTCACTCCCTTGGGGCAGCTATTACTAAGCCATTTTTAAGTTTTTGTGTGTTCTTCTCATCATAGTCTCTGCGTATATGAGAAAATGACTGTGTATTTATATGTATGTATGGCTGTATATACACATACCAACTGTTAAGTCCAGGGAGAGGAAATCCTGGGGCAAAATACCTCTAAAAACCGAAATCAGTCAAAGGGAGAAATAAAGTTTAAAACCCATTTATTGCTTACAAACTGCAGTCCAGGGCCACCTCCTCTGCTCCTGAAGAAGGCAGCAAGCCAGCCCCTCCCCTTAAACTCCCAGGTTCAGACACGCCCTCCGTTGCCCAGGTAATTACCCACTGACATGGAGATGAACTTCTCTCCACCCCTGAGGATATGCAAATGCCCTAAAGCCAGGCGAGATACTCTGGAAATGGTACAATTTTACCCACACCAACATACATGTATATACACATGCATGTATAGCTATGTGTATATATGTGTTTTATTTATCATTTTGAAAACACAATAGTATTACAGTTCTCTTAAAAGGCAGATCGCCATTTATTGAGTGCTAAGATGTACAATGTACATAAAGAAATAACATAGGTTATGAAGGTTTTTTTTTTTTTTAAGGTTGCAGAAATTTAGAATTTTTTTGTTCTAATTTCTCCATCCTTGATTCTGAGACCTTACCAATTACTTGTCAGCTCTGGGGAGTTCTCCTCCCTCTAGATTTCTAGTGAACATTCAGTTCTGGTTGTGCATGTTTGTGTGTGTGTGTGTGACTGATTTTGGCTGGCGGCATGCAGGCAGCATTGAATTCTGTGCATCTTGCCAACCTCTGGGAGGGACCTGTGTTATTTGGGAGTCTTTGGGTCACAAGTGAGAGAAACTTTAACTAGCCTGAGTGAAGGAACTTATGGGCCCATCTAAGTGAAAAAGGGTGGGGGTAAGGAATGCTTTCAGGCATGGCTGAACTCAAGGGTCCAAGTGACGGCATCAGACCCCACTGTCTACCTGTTTCTTGGCTACTTAATGGGCTTTATTCTCAAGACGCTCTTATGGCAAGTCTGGTTCTAGTTAGGAAAAAAAAATCATTCTAGATGCTTCAGAGGGTAGTAAATACAGGGAATTGGTTTCATGTGTGACAGAAGAGCTGAGAAGCCAAGTAGGGTAGGATAGGGCATGGTGAGGTAAACTCAGGGAGCCGCTATGCTTCTAGGCCAGAACAAGAGAGGAGGTGGCTGGAATCTTGGAAGAAACGCAGCTGCTGCTGAAGACACCCGCTGAGACAAGAGAAAGGCTGCGGTGGGGAGCGGAGGGTGGGTGGAATGTGCGTATGTGGGAACACCCTGGCTTGCCCCCTCCCTCCAGAGCCAGTCTTCTGCCAGTGCCTCCCATTAGCCAAACAGTCTGATAAGCTTGTGAGCAAAGGAGGCTGGGAAATGTAGTCCTTGCAATACAAGACAGGAAGGGTAGGGGACGGGTCTGAGGGCAGACAGGTACCTGGGCCTCAAGTCCGGTAGGAAAAGGAGTGCAGAAGTTTCCTGCGAAAGTCTTATGCAGCTGGGTCACGTGGTCGCCCCAAACCATATATGGTGACCAAGCAAAGCACCGACTGGCTTATAACTAGGGCTGCATGCGGGGACTGTGCAGTAGGTGAAACACATGGTGGAGAGGAAAGCTCCTCCTGACCACAGCAGATCGGGTTGGGCCCTAAGATGACAAGAGCCAGGGTCTCCAGTGTCATCTCAGCTGTCTTTCTTTTCTTCTCTTGTCTGCTTTTCCTTCTCAGTTTTACTCTTTCAGAGCTTCTGTACCACATGAGGCTGGGTCCCGGCTCAGCCAGCTCCTGGCTGTCCCTAATAGCTTCAGTTGAAAAAAATCCCATGGCAGAGCTTGGCTGGTTGGCTGTGGTCACGTGCCCATCTTTGGGCCTGTGTGCATAGAACAGGACCTGATTCCAGTGTGTGCGTGTGTGTGTGTGTGTGTGTGTGTGTGTGTGTGTAGGAGGGGGGTCTTCTCCCCCAACACACCACCAAACATTCTTGAACACCAGCAGGGTGTCCAAGAACTCAATTCTGATGCTCTCTGCCCAGGGACAGCACCAGATTCCCCAGGGGAAGGGCTCCATCCTACAGGACTGCCCTCCATCCCCCACTCCAGGTGACTGTCCCCAGCCCCAGACAGTTTCCTGTGCTTCTGACTACTGGCTACAGAAGGGAAGTTCCCACGACCTGCCTCTTGGGTTCAGTTACTTTGCTAGGGCGGCCTACAGAACTCAGGAAAACACTTACCTGCCAGTTTAATAAAGGATAACGTAAAGGATACCAATTAACAGCCAGATGAAGACACAGGGCGAGGCTCCAAATAAAGGAGCTTCTCTCCTCAGGGAGCTTGGGGCCTAGCCCGGTGGTATGTGGAGGCAGTCTGGCTCCTACAGTGCAGAAGCTCTCTCGAAACAGGACCCAGCCAAGCAGACAGCGACAATCTCTTGTCAGGGGTTTTTGTAACAGCTTCATTGCATAGTCACGATTAACTAAATTATTGGCCATTGGCTGATTCATCCTCACTCCTGCCATGGGGTGGGGTTCAAAAGTCTCTCATTAACATGACAAAACACCCATTTCACCTTTAAGACTGCAGTTTTCAGGAACTGTAGATGGAGACTAAATCTATCTCAGAATATATATTTGGTCATCTGAGTGACCAAACAATATCTCTTATGATTCATGATATCAAGGCCAATCACTGTGGTCTGTGGGATGGGGCGCTGTGATTGACTCAGCTAGAGTCACATGACTACCTTTGTGGCCCCAGAGGGCAGAGTAAGTCTTGAGAAGCCCTCAACCAGGAATGTGTAATTGATCCCTAGAGCATTATTGCTGTTCTGTATATGGGACTAAACTTTTGCTTTCTGGTTGGGTGTTAAAGACGTGCGATTTGTCAGAAACAAAGTACATGGAGTCTTACCTCATTTGGCCAAAACTGTCTTGCACCATTTAAAAGCAGACAAAGTAGGAGAGGGCTAAAAGGAGGAGACAGTTCTCAGAAGAGGTTGAAACTCCTGTTAGACTGAACTGTAAGTTGGATAAATACCAGTTTTAACCTGAGCATGATCACCTCCTAGGTACATTGGTTTTAGACCATTTGACTGGAGGTTTTTCTTGTGTGGACATGTGTGTGCGTGTTCTGGGGACTGAGGCAGGGGTGATTTGGAGAATGTGGGGAGCTCTGAGTGTGAATGGGGGTGACACTGGGGGAGATTTTGGGGGCGTGAATGGGCTCACTAGGGGACCTTGGCGTATGAGTGGGAGAAATTTTAGCAGAAGTAGGGTGATTTTGGAGATGACTAGGGGTAACCAAAGTGTCTTGGGTAAGTTTGGGAGTGCTATTGGCAGTGTCTGGGGGTGATATTGAGGGTACTGATGTGACATGCCGTATCTTTTGGGAGTTTGAAGAGGGTGATTCTAGAAATTATTGAGATGATTCTGTGTGGTGACCTTAAGGATGTGAGTGGGGGTGACTGGGGGCCACCTGTGGGGTGGCTTTGGTGGTATAAGGGAGTTGATTATGAGGATATCTGGGGGTTAACTCTGGGGTTAAGTGGGGGTAATTTGGGACAACTTTGAGGGTGTGAGTGGGAATGACTGAGCTGACTTTACAAGTGACTGGGGGTGACTTTGTGAGAGTGGACATCATTTTGGGGTTTCTGTGAGGGAACTTTGGTGATGGGAGTGCGGGAGAATTTGAGGATGTCTTTAGCCAGACTTTGGGGGTGTCTGTTGGGATGCTTATGGGTGTGAGTGGGGGTGAATTCGGAGGGTGGCCTTGAAGAGTTCCGAGATGACTCTGGGGCCTTCTCCCTCTCTCCCCGCCGCAGTTCTTGCCCACATGAGCACGGGCTTCATGATGCTGGCCCTGAGCCTGAGTGTCATTCTCCTCCTGGCCATGTGCCTTTCCCTCAGGCCAGTCTTCTGGTGCCTTAACAAGGTAGACCTTGTCTTCAGTTCCCTCAGCTTCATCACTGGTAAGTGTTGGCTTGGGGGAAGGGGTGTCCTCCCCACCCCAGCACATTTCCCCAGGGCTTTCTTTCCAGCTTTGGGAGGTGCATGTCAAAGCTTCTGCCCTGCTGTCTGGTGGGTCTCTGTCTTTGAATGTCTCTTGGGGGCCTCTGCCCCAGTCTCTCTGAGTGCATCTCAGTTCTACTTTATCCTTTTAGTAGAGATGACTGTGTGGGGGTAACTCCCACCCTCTTCCTGTTTCCTGTTTCTTTCTGCCTGTTATGGGTGTGTGTCCGCGTGTGCATCTGCGCACGCCTGCTTGTCATGAAGGGTGGGAGCGGATGTCTTTTTTTTCTTGGGGTGCCTGTCCACCCTCGTGTCCATCTCTGGCCCCACCCCAGTGCAGGGTTCCTGATTGTCCTCAGCATGGCGCTCTTTGTTATCCAATGTGAGACGCTGCGCCCGAAGCCACAGGTATCCTACCTGCCGATCACTTACCTGTGCTGGGGCGCTGGCGCCTTGATGCTGTGGGCCGGTGAGAGCAGGGCCTCGGAAGGGCCGGGGGCGGAAGGGGGCGGCCCAGAGAGAACTCGAGACAGGGCCTGGGGCCACCTGGGGCCGAGCGGCAGGGGTTGGGGGAGGTCGGCCTAGAGCGACAGCGCGGGTCCAGGGAGTGGCTTGGAGTCCAGCGACCCACTTAGCGTTCCCTGTCCAGGAATCCTGAACTACTTAAACTACATGGGCATCTGCAGCAAAGTGAGGTTCTTCATGGAGAGGCGGATGAGCTATCGGCGCTGGGTCTCGCAGCGGGGCGCCCTGAGGTCCGCGTCCCAACAGCAGTCAGAGCCAGACACCAAGCACACCGTGCACCTGCCCAGTTCTCTCACCCTCCCGGGCACACCCCCGGACTCTCAGGACACCAACCAGAAACCGAGGCTAGGTGCTGGGCCCGCCCCGTTCATCGTGGCTGTGCGCCCATTGGACCTCCCTTGAGGTCTCACTCCCTAAGAACAGGCCTTGCCCTCCGGGGACCTTAGCGGCTCTGCTCCTGCCCACTGAGTCCTCAGCCTGCCCTCGCCTTCTGAGCGCACCTGGAGCAGCGAGGCCCGTTGGCATGGCCCCTCGCAGGCCACGCCCCGAAGCCCCACACCCTCTTCAGAACACCTCCCCTTCCAAGGCCTGGAGTTGACCTAGGCACCTGCTGGACCTAGACCTTCGGAGGAACAGACCCCTCCTCAGAAAGGAGTGACTTGCAATAACATCCCCGCCCCCTTCTAGGCTTCCCGCCACAATAAAATCTGGGTGCCACCCAACCTTTCAGAGTCCAACCCTCTTTTGTGTCCTCTCCCCCAAGGCAAGGTTGGACCTGGGGTGTGTGAATTGGTCTGAGTCCCTGCCTTGCCGTTTGGGGTCCCGAGCTTTCCAGATGACCAGCGTTTAGAAAGCCAGGTGACACCAGAACTTAATGCGAATTTGATGCGTATTCAATTTTACTGGGGGTCAGGGACATGGTGGGGCACTCAGGGGTTGGCCTCTATGGTCTCCTTGATCCACTCCAAGTGTGCAATCACCTTAGTGTAGACGGCAGGCATGTTGGGGGTGCCACATGGGATGTGGCCCCAGGATGTGATTCCTTGAAGCATGCCATCGCAGACCAGAGGGCCCCCCGAGTCGCCCTACAGCACAAGGGGGAGAGAGAGACAGAGGTCACTGAGGCCCTCGATTCTGCCAGCGGGGCCCGAGCTGTCAGACCTGGGCTCACAAATCACAGACAGTGACCCCTCAGCTACAGGGAAAGACTGGCACCGGGGTCCGCTCCCAGAAGAAGACAGGCGGGCTTCCAACAGGGGACAGTGGCTCCAGTGCTACCAGTGTGGATGGGACTGCAGGGTCCAGGAGCACGGCCCCTGCAGACAGATGAGCGCCGAGGAGGAGCAGGAGCCCGCTACAGCCCTCCCACCCTTGGGGCCCATCTCAGATGCCTCCTCTCCCCAAGGGGCTTTCTCTGACCCGACAGTAAATAACTGTTGGGGGCACGGTGCACTATGATGTGAGGGGGCAGGTTCATCGGATACCTGGATGGGGTGCGGGCTGGGGGTGGGGTGGGGTGGGGAGGAGCTGCCGCTGGGAAGCAGTTGGCCACAGATGCCCGATCAGCTCTCAATTCCAGTTCAGAATCTGGGTCCCCTCCCCCAGCACCCCGGGGCCCCAGGAGAACAGGATGGCTCACCACGCAGGTGTCCTTGCCGCCCTCCAGGTGGCCAGCACACAGCATGAACTCTGTCACCTTCTGGGCGTGGGCCTTGGCGCACACGTCATTGGACAGCAGTTTGAGGTCCACGCACTGGAGATCGTCTGGGTACACGTCTACAGGCCAGACAGAAACCCCGCGTGGCTCCCCCACCCCCTCCCTCACACCCCGCGGGCCGGGCCCCAGCCCCCTCCTCCCTTCGCCCCCCGGGAGTCTGGCATACACGCATCCGGCACGGTGCTGCCCCAGCCGGAGGCGTAGCAGGTGCTCCCCAGCGGGGGCTCCTGGGCGGGCAGGTCCGCGGCCCTCACGGCGTCGGTCATCTGGGCGGGCTCCGCCAGGCGCAGCAGCATAAGGTCGTGGCTGAAGTCCTCCCCCGGGAGGGGGGTGTGGTTCTTCAGGAGGCTCAGGTTGAATTGAGGATGTGGGAAGCTGCTACTGACGTGGACAAACTGGGCAGTGTTTTCGTGCTCAAACAGGTTGTGGCGCCCCAGCCACAGCTGATAATTGCTGGGGAGAGAGGGGGACGGAGGGAACCGGAGAGTGTGGTGGGGATGTGAGGCAGGAGGGCGGTGGGAGGTCCCCAAAGAGAAAGAGGAATGGAGAGAAAACAGACATAGCAGGGAAGATTAGGCATGAAAAAAAAAAAAAAA